TTCTCTCTCTCTCTCTCTCTCTCTCTCTCTCTCTCTCTCTCTCTCTCTCTCTCTTCCTCTGCTTGTCCTTCAATTCTGCCGAATCCACTGTTTTTTTGTGTTCTATTGTTAAACCTGTTGTTGTGTTCTGAACAGCTAAACCCGAGTGCGCGACTCTTGATCTGATACGAAAGAAGGACGTTGGACATTGGAGAGAAACAACAACATTTATTGCTACTCACGAAGAACAACAGAAGATCAAGATGCATGCACGAGCCCTGGGTGCGAACAGAGTCCACCTCGATTCAAGTATCCAAGTCTCATCGAAACCCATAACTGAACAAGAAGACACTCTTAGCATTCAGCAAAAGATGGAACAAGAAATGTAATTCTGTGACGCAAGTCGAAACGGGCGCAGAAGAGGAAATCAAGCGTTTAGAAAAAAACACACCGATTGTCTAATTTGATAGATCAAATCAAGTAGTAACAAACATGTATGTCCATATAGACTAAGAAGATCACTTTACACCAGTTTACTGAAATGCCTTCACCTTCATCTTTGACAAGAATTCCGCCAGGTACGCAGAACCAACCCTTTCTCCTCTGAAAAACCTGAACAATTGAAGTCACATAAACATTCCCCAGCCGTCAGACAAAGACAAAACTGGAACAGGAATGTCTCGAGTTTCCTGGTGTGGAAGCTGGCAATAAAATTCACACCTACCATCTCGGAACGAGAGATTGTTTCGTGGTATTGGACCTAGTATGAACAACAGAAACAATAGTGTTTGTCAAGTGATGACACCTGAGTGCCCGGTCTCCCTGCCACCTCTTACTCCCAGTATCAGTTTGGATAAGCGAGAAACAGAACTTTACAAGTGGCAGATGAGATGTTAAATCTAGCCCACCTCTAAAAAAATGTAATAATGTGCTCATTCCGAAGGAAACATTCATCTCAATAACATAATTTTGTTCTTAACACATTTCTGAGCAAACCTGACCCTAACATCTGGTCGAAATACTATTAAATAGCATTACATTCAAGCCAATATTGTTTTGTTTTGTTTTTTAAACAGAGCTCTTAGTTTGTGTCTTTAAAATTGTTAGAACGACCTTTAACATCTGAATGTTGTCGATGCTTAAACAAGCGTGTGCATCCCCCCCCCGAAAACATAGAAAAAAAGTTGTAATTGTGGAGAGGTGTTCAACTTTGATGCCCCCCCCCCTCCCCCCAACCGGGGCAATGCTACTGACTAAAGTTGAATTCAAGCCATTCCCAAAGAGGGGATATTAACGTGTTCACATGCACAGAAGAATTGTAAATGGGCTGATTTATCAGTGTCATTCTCATACTGTGCGGTAACAACATGGGGGGAACTGCTGCTTTTTCTTTCCTCGTCCTTACTAATGTATCGTCTTTTTTCCTCCACTTCTTTTGTATGTCTGTCACACTCTTATGAACTACTATTTCTGGGGTGGTTGGCGGGTGCTCTGGTGTGGTTTGCTTCTTCTTTCCTATCAAACGTCTATCGTCCTGATCTCTCCTCCTTCTATTTTGTGTTTGTTCCTCTCTTGTAACACCTCTAATCTTCGGCACTTATATGACCTTATTGTGTTGCAAGTGCCGTAAAACTCTTTACTAAAACTAAAACTTGATAGAGGGAGCAGAGGTTGTGCTGTTGTCGAAGCTAGAGAGGTGACAAGAGTAAGCCTGATTCCCCGTTTGAACTTCTCTGCTGACATCCACCCCTTGGCGCTCATAATATGACCTTATACAGCACCGTAAAACCTTACTAGAACTAAAAAACAACTTTGATGTGTTTCCTGGAAGTGAATAAAAGCAAAATCTGCTGCTGGCTGAACTGAAAAACTAGACTCTTGTAAATAGTACTAGTAGAAATGAAAACAAACCTTTTTTTTTGGGGGGGGGGGGGGGGGGGGCTTCCAGTGGAATTGCTGACTTTTGCACTTTGCCTCCCTTGTTTACGAACAGTTGGTTGAATGTAAGTTGGATGAAAACTGCCATTATTATTGTATTATAACTTTTGAAGTACCCAATTGGTCTTTTTCACTTCCATTCCCGTAAGTGTTTTATGCCTTCGGTGACACAATTTAGATCATAGGAGAAACGAGCTAAGCCTGCTTAAACCTTGACTGTCAAGGCCAAACATTTTTTTTCTTCAAATTTAGACGTTTCTACATTGACACAATTTAGAACCTACCCTAAGATCAGGGGTGTAGCCGAAAGACAGTAGTAAGTTAAAGAAGGAGCCAAGGGGGAAGAGGAGGAACAGAATGCAACAGATAGAGTCCGGAGCCCAGAGGAGGGGGCAAGATGGGGGGTGGGTGGGTGGGTGGGTGGAGGTGGGCAGAAAGTGGAGACGAAAGCAGACAATAGTACATGGTGAGAAAGCAGGAAGGAGAGAAGGTGAAAGGAGAAAATTTTCCGTCCCTGCCACTGTGTCAAGTTTCGACTCAACCGGGACCTTGAATGAGAGGCGAACATCATGCCTCTAGACCATCACCATTAAGTGTCCTATTTCCTTCCAGTCCTCCTTCCTTTCTTTCCCTCCGTTGTTTTTGCCTGTTTTTCTAACTTTACCCGGCCGTGCACTAAATTATCGTTACCATGTCGATGTGCTTCTCTATAATAACTATAACTATAGTCCCGATTACACGCAACGATAAATTGTATCAGATTTAATAGTAGCATAAATTGATTAGAATCGAGATCTAGACTGCGAATGGAGTTCAGAACGAAGGGAAACAAATCTGGCAGACTTCCAAGGGCCTGATGTGAAATTTGAGTTCGAGAACGGCTCAAAAGACGGGAAATATTTCTGAAAACTTCGTGTTTTTTGGGGGTAAAATTTGCGGTAGTTTGCGGATAGCTGCTAAATTCGCGGCCGCTAATTTGAATAGTAAATTTCGGCCACCACAAATAGATAATAGATAGAACGTGCGCGCGCCGTGTGTACGCATGTGTGTGTGTGTGCATTTGTGTGTGTGTGTGTGTGTGTGTGTGTGTGTGTGTGTGTGTGTGTGTGTGTGCGTGCGTGCGTGCGTGCGTGCATGTCATGGGGAAACAGGATATGAACAATCAAGGTTCTTCTTATTTTAAAATTTAAAATTGATGCAATATTTTTTTATCATTTTCAAGAGCAGAAGCACAAACAGCAGACAATAATAATTGACGAACAAAAGATCGAAATAAAAAATATACTGATTGATTGTTTTGTTGTAGTTGTAGTAAGTGGTGCTCGCAACTGCATAAGATCATATAAGTAAGAGCATGGAACACATTCTAGTAGTATGATAGGAATTTTTTAGTTTGCCCGGGTAGCAGCCGAAGCCTACTTTTATCGATTTTGGACCTCCTTATTAAGGCGATCTTTAACTTGCTCACAGGGCCTCCGAAATTTTTCGCCCTTATCCAAGAAGGCTAGGTGTTTGATCTGTGGCTGAAAGACAGGTGTAAGAAAGAGCCAAGGAGTAGCAGTAAAAAGGCTGCAGAAAGAATCAGGAGTCCAGAGGAGGACAAAAGGGGAGGGGGGGGTGGTGGTTGGGGCAGACAATGGAGAAGAAAGCAGACAGGTCATGGTTAGAGAGCAGGAAAGGGGGTGAAAGGAGAAAACGTTTAGAGAAGAAAATTTTACGTCGTCAGGTTTCAAACCCGGAATGAGTGGCGAACACCACAACCTCTAGACCACGAGAGACCTTAGTGATGAATGAGCAAAGACACGCACATCATCAAAAGAATGGCCATTAAGTATCAAGTGCAGGGAACAAGAAAAACAGACAGAAAAAAACAGAGGAAAAGAAAAGTATTACCTATTCATTACAAACTATATAAGTACAAATGTAGCACTCTCCGTTAACCACCAGCACAATGATATTGATGATATTGAACCTAGTCAATAACAAAATTATGAGGCAAATGGAGGAGGAAGTGAACTCGGTCACTTCACATAGTGTACTTTGTCACTCTACGTTGAAAAATAACTAATCCAAAAATTAGGATTTTGCGTACAAAAATAACAAGACGGGGAAAACTGATAAGTTCATACTTTTATTTGACCTCTCTGTGGTCATCATCATACTTTATCTGTAAACAGGAACAACACAATGAAAACTGTCTGTAAACAAGAGCATAAAATAAGTATATATATCTTGAAAAAAAACAGTCAACCCAACAATGTCATTTTATTTTGTCACTAAGCACAATCACTTCAACTTCTGTCACACAACATCGCGGCCAAAGAGATCTTGATCTGCATACCATGTGAATATACGACACCCTGTCAGCCCAACAGAGAATACAGAGGGGGGATGTGAAATGAAACGAACTAGTTACAGGCAATAGACATTAACCACAAACAACCTTATTTTTTAGTCTTTTTAAACACTTCTAAGGCTAGAGAGAAATAGACACTAACAATCACCCAGTTACTTTACTCATCATAAAACACATAAATTATAGTAAACAAACAGTTATTTATCCCTATACTGCCCTCAGTTCATATTTGGTGATTTATATTACTCTTTATAATTAGTGATGGTCCAAGCAAAAAGAAAAAAAAACTGGTAACATATTGGCAAAGTAATAGAGCACAGAGCTTCAATAACACTCTAACAAAGTAACAACAGAGCTTCAATAACACATGGACCAAGTAACAGAGAGCTTCAATTGTAAATACAAAAAAACACAAAATTCTAATTAATACATAACGCAACAACAGATGCTTCTTGGTCCAGGTGGAATAAACATAGAATACTGTGTGGGAAAATTGACAAACACCGGTCTAGGCAAATTTTTCATTCAAAACACGGGAACCAAGAGTAACTCTTGACATTTCATGCTCAATATCTTGAGGACAAGCGAGCCCCTACGAAGTCACCAGTCTTAAAACTATTGCAAAGTCAAACTCCCTAGAGAGACACATACAGACTTCCATATGTGGTCCCAGAAGACAACATAATCAGCAGTCAAAGCTAAAACAAATTCACCTTGTGTTGTACTCATTGTCAATGTGGGAAATATAGGACAACACTCATTGCCCAGTTAAGTTGCAGATCGTCATGGTGAATAATCAAAACTTTAAAAAAATGAAAAAGAAGCCATATATACCTAGAAAAGGATTACCTTCAAAATGATAACTGTCAAATAGTACAACTTACATTAATTTCACACACTATGCTGGGACGTTGAAAGTGCTGTCCTAAAGTGCCAGCTAGAGAAACAAGAAGACAAGTAACAAATCAAACAATCAATGCCCTCCATGTATCAACAATGGATGCTGGTAGAAATTCAGACGAATCAAAGAAAAATAAATAGGCTATTTATACAAAATGAAGAAAAAAAAATAATCAAGCCTGTGTATTTTGATTTGTCTGAAATCTATAAGAAAACTCATAAGTCTGATGCAAGAGCCATTTTCGCAATACAAACTCTACAGTACTCTACTCATGATAATGACTGATAGAAAAAGTCAGAATAAAAACTGCTGGGCAAACTGAAGTGGTAAACTTCAACCGGTCAATCACTATCACCAAGTATGCAAACTATTCTCGACCCCAATGAACCGTACACATTTGAGGGAATAAAACACAGGTATCCCTGCTTTAACAATGAACTGAACAACTTCCTGAGGTAAAAGTTTATTGAACGTTAGTGTTTCACATACGATGAGCTCAGTGCTGTAAAATGAAATAAATATACTATATAAATGTCATAAGTGCTAACAATAGAAAACTGGCGGAACAAGATGGGTGTCAACAAACAAGGCATTCTTTCAAATAATAATATCCTGTTGATGTCATAAAAGGACAATGCGCCCATTAAAATATTTTCCATGACAGAGATCAGGTCAACAGACGCTAAGAGCAGACCATACTGGGCCCCAAAGTCCATGTTTGTGCAGCAACACCAGTATCTCTTCAGCCTGCATTTTATCTTAAGACTATCCACACCGCATCAAGGCATTCTATCTTAGACTATTCACACCATATCTTAGACTATCCACACCATATCAAGGCGTTCTATCGTAAGCTATCAACACCATATCTTAGACTATTCACACCATATCTTAGACTATTCACACCACATCAAGGCATTCTGTCTTAAGCTATCCACACCATATCTTAGACTATTCACACCATATCTTAGACTATTCACACCACATCAAAGCATTCTGTCTTAAGCTATCCACACCATATCAAGGCATTCTGTCTTTAGCTATCCACACCATATTTTAGACTATCCACACCATATCAAGGCATTCTGTCTTAAGCTATCCACACCATATCAAGGCATTCCATCTTAGGGTATCCACATCACATTAAGTCAGGCTCGACTTTCTTGTGCTGCCGGCAAAAGAGTGCATATTTCGCAAATGTGCAGGTCTTGACTTTCCCTCACAGGACACTCACACACAAACAACAAATACGCCTACCATGAGTAGCACAAGGAATGTAGTTGTTTTTTGGTTTTTTGCAGCATCCAGTGAACAAAAGGAAATGACACTCACTGCAAAAGAATAATGCCCAAGAGCATGCGCATTTCAGTGTGTCCTTTTTTGCACGCATGCACTTATATTGGAAAGAAAAAAGAAAGAGGACCAGACACTGAATGCAAATGAGCAAGAAAATAAGACAGCTCAAATACAAACAGATAATGACAGACAAAGAGAATTCATCAAAATATTTCCTATTTGGTGGAACCCCCCCTACCCCCCCGACACAAATAAATCCAGAAATATAAGTCAAAGGGTCGCAGGCATTGGGTCAGCTGAACCGAAGCACTGGGAAGTAGACAAGGTCAGGAAAAGAAAGTCCATTTAAATACAAACATCATTGAGCTGTTTTCTATTTGACATCTACATCTGTTAATTCACGCAGAGGGGAAATAAATAAAATATAATGGCACAAAGAAATAATGAGGTTGCTATGAAAAAAAATTCAACTTCTAAGCAAGGATAAGGAGGCAACATTCTGAATGTGATTCAGCTTGCACACCCCTTGAGCAAGCAGAGACATTAACACAACCTTACTTCCCAATACGAATACAATACTTCAGCATGTCCTTTGCTTTAAAAAAAAATACGTCTTTCAATGTGTATTAAATTATCTAGAACACAAAGGTAACTGTAGCTGAAAATACAAGCATAGTCAGGGAGCTGAATGTTGGGTTAGACAATGTAGAATAGTCATGACATAATGTAGAACGCCCATAACATAATGTAGAACAGCCAAGACAAAGTGAATAGGTATCACAACATATAAACCTTCACAGTAAGCAGATAAAGCCCAGCTTAGGGATCTGTAATTTCTTTTTTTGACTCACGGATAACATTCACATATTCAAAACATGCTGAGTTTTGGCTATGTCAACTTGTTGAGACACTGGCTAGTACATAATTTTCACAGAAATAAATACATTGGAGAAGGAAAGTTCCAATTAAAATTTGTAAGCACAAGGGAAAAGCTTGTTCTCAATGCAGTATAAATTGATATTACAACACATAAAAAAAAAGAAAAAATAAGTGAACAACTAAATTCTATATTACATTAGTGGAAACACAGTTGTCAATGGAAAAACCAACCCTACATACTTTTAAGTAAATGCTCAATATAGACAGTCCATAGAAACAGATGGAACAAACAAACAAAAATAAGCAAAAAACACATGGGATATAATATCACTGAACAAGAGGTTATTACTTGTCATTAATGTGTCACAGTATACTACAAACAACACACACTCTCTCTCATACTGAACTCTTTACACTCTACAACCAGTCAGGATTCATTCACAATCAACACACCATTTCTTCTCACTGTCCCCTTCTACACTGGATTTGCTTGAATATCTGTGCTGCCTACATCTCCACTATATTATAATGATACAAAAGTGTTATAAAACTGACCAATCCCTGATCAATAAATCACCTTCATGTTCTGTCATCATCTTCCCAACTAGGTAAGTGTCTCAGTATAATAATATCTCCGACAGTCAAAGTCAAAAGGAGTATCATTTGATATATGAGATCTCATAATTTCACAAAATTGCAAACAAATTTCAAGTCTTCGAGATCATGACATCAATTGCCCAGGATATCAGTTCTTTGAGAACTCGGTGGGTGTTCCTCTCACTGTAATAATACAAAGGACAAAAGCTAAGGGTGCTCATGGTTGTGATGCGAAAAAAAAATAGTTAAGTGTCCTCCAAGGCTGCTAGACCTGCCGACTCTGCCTGGACACTGAAACTCAATTTTTTAAAATGGAAGTTTTATCTTCAGCTAAGTCGATCTTGTTACTGAAAATTTCCAGTAAAAATTGTATTAAAAGAAGAAAAAAAGCATCAACTGTGCTAAGCTGTTTCTCTCCCACACACCTCCATCACTCAACTAGAACAGCAATCAAGGCATAAACAAAATCCCCACAGGATAAATCCCTAGTCAATCTCCACTTCTTCTGCGGCATCAACAGACAAAAGGATAACCAAGAACACATCCAAAACACACACACAACTATTTGTGCAGAAAAAAGGAATGCGCCTTTGTTCATACAGATTCTCACACATTACACTCTCAACAACAGTCACACAGGATCGCCGAAACCATGAAAATCCAGCCTGGGGAAGGGAGGATGGGGAAAGGGCAGGCAGAAAGTTCCACTCTCCAGCTGCCTCATGTTGTGTTCTCTTAAAACTGCAGGCAAGAGTGACAAGATGATTCCACCAGTTTTAACAATACAGATAGTAGTTCGTCCTCTCCACATCTCTCCTTCCACATCCCCTTTCAACAAACTTTATGGTTTCCGTACACCTCTCACACACAGCTCCATTTATTATCTTCATTCATGCAGTATATCAAAGTTTAAAAAAAACTATCCTTGCAACAGTGTCTAGAGTCTGTTTCAACAGGGGTTCGGAGGACTTGGTGGGAGGGGGAGGAGGGTGGAGGGTAGTAGTCATGGCAGAGCACTACACTGCACTAGGAGGCCTTGGCTTGTTCCTCCTCCTGTGAGTTGAGACTTGCCAGGATACGGGCTACCTCGTTCCGCTGACTAGAGCTCATCTGTTGCGTCATCGAAACGATCGAGTCCATGGCCACCTCAGGGTTGGAGCTCAACAGACTGTGGGAGAAACGTGAGAGATACAGACAATGAACAAGGATTACTGACTACCAATACACCAGCTTTGTCATGATTATTCATGTTTTAATCTCCTTTCAACAGTTATATCACCTCAACCATGCCCATCAGGGTCAGCCTGAGCCCAGTGGGATACAGTACCCAAGAAGAAGGGTGCAGATATTTCATAATATAAATTTCCCCACTTGGGAACCTAACCCATGTCTTCTGAGAGATTGGTGGAGACCCTTACCGGTGTGAGAGAGAGAGAGTGTGTGTGTGTGTGTGTGTGTGTGTTTGTGTGTGTGTTTGTATGTGCGCGCATGTACATGAGTAAGCGTGTGAATCATGTCACATTCACTAAGATGGCATAGAATTCATTTTTTCAAGACAGCAGAGTGAAAAAACGCACCTCCTGATCTCCGACAGCACGCGTTCCCTTTGCAGACACCGTATGTTCTCCATGACCGCGTTGTCTTGGGCATTGTCCTGCAACTGTT